TTGTACGAGGGGTAGGAAGCACGCGGCGTCTGTCCGGAGGAATCTTTCCTGGCGATAAGTAACGACGGGAACATCGCTCCAGGAGATGAAAAAAAAGAAAAGCTTAGCTTTGCAGGAAGTGTTAATCTGGCTCCCCGCGGCTAGACATTCGTCGCCCCCGGCGATAGCCAATGCAAACGCTAACGAGGGCTTCATCATTGCGGCTCCCCGATGCATTAACACCGCTCTGGATGTGGGACGAAATATTTGTTCCCACAGTAGTAATGCCGTGTGATGGGCGGAACCCCAAAGAGGTGTATATAGTATATGTAGTAATGCCGTGTGATGGGCGGAACCCCAAAGAGGTGTATATAGTATATGAAGTAATGCCGTGTGATGGGCGGGAACTGTATATAGTATATATAGTAATGCCGTGTGATGGGCGGGAACCCAAAGAGGTGTATATAGTATATGTAGTAATGCCGTGTGATGGGCGGGACCCCAAAGAGGTGTATATAGTATATGTAGTAATGCCGTGTGATGGGCGGGACCCCAAAGAGGTGTATATAGTATATGTAGTAATGCCGTGTGATGGGCGGGACCCCAAAGAGGTGTATATAGTATATGTAGTAATGCCGTGTGATGGGCGGGACCCCAAAGAGGTGTATATAGTATATGTAGTAATGCCGTGTGATGGGCGGGACCCCAAAGAGGTGTATATAGTATATGTAGTAATGCCGTGTGATGGGCGGGACCCCAAAGAGGTGTATATAGTATATGTAGTAATGCCGTGTGATGGGCGGGACCCCAAAGAGGTGTATATAGTATATGTAGTAATGCCGTGTGATGGGCGGGACCCCAAAGAGGTGTATATAGTATATGTAGTAATGCCGTGTGATGGGCGGGACCCCAAAGAGGTGTATATAGTATATGTAGTAATGCCGTGTGATGGGCGGGACCCCAAAGAGGTGTATATAGTATATGTAGTAATGCCGTGTGATGGGCGGGACCCCAAAGAGGTGTATATAGTATATGTAGTAATGCCGTGTGATGGGCGGGACCCCAAAGAGGTGTATATAGTATATGTAGTAATGCCGTGTGATGGGCGGGACCCCAAAGAGGTGTATATAGTATATGTAGTAATGCCGTGTGATGGGCGGGACCCCAAAGAGGTGTATATAGTATATGTAGTAATGCCGTGTGATGGGCGGGACCCCAAAGAGGTGTATATAGTATATGTAGTAATGCCGTGTGATGGGCGGGACCCCAAAGAGGTGTATATAGTATATGTAGTAATGCCGTGTGATGGGCGGGACCCCAAAGAGGTGTATATAGTATATGTAGTAATGCCGTGTGATGGGCGGGACCCCAAAGAGGTGTATATAGTATATGTAGTAATGCCGTGTGATGGGCGGGACCCCAAAGAGGTGTATATAGTATATGTAGTAATGCCGTGTGATGGGCGGGACCCCAAAGAGGTGTATATAGTATATGTAGTAATGCCGTGTGATGGGCGGGACCCCAAAGAGGTGTATATAGTATATGTAGTAATGCCGTGTGATGGGCGGGACCCCAAAGAGGTGTATATAGTATATGTAGTAATGCCGTGTGATGGGCGGGACCCCAAAGAGGTGTATATAGTATATGTAGTAATGCCGTGTGATGGGCGGGACCCCAAAGAGGTGTATATAGTATATGTAGTAATGCCGTGTGATGGGCGGGACCCCAAAGAGGTGTATATAGTATATGTAGTAATGCCGTGTGATGGGCGGGACCCCAAAGAGGTGTATATAGTATATGTAGTAATGCCGTGTGATGGGCGGGACCCCAAAGAGGTGTATATAGTATATGTAGTAATGCCGTGTGATGGGCGGGACCCCAAAGAGGTGTATATAGTATATGTAGTAATGCCGTGTGATGGGCGGGACCCCAAAGAGGTGTATATAGTATATGTAGTAATGCCGTGTGATGGGCGGGACCCCAAAGAGGTGTATATAGTATATGTAGTAATGCCGTGTGATGGGCGGGACCCCAAAGAGGTGTATATAGTATATGTAGTAATGCCGTGTGATGGGCGGGACCCCAAAGAGGTGTATATAGTATATGTAGTAATGCCGTGTGATGGGCGGGACCCCAAAGAGGTGTATATAGTATATGTAGTAATGCCGTGTGATGGGCGGGACCCCAAAGAGGTGTATATAGTATATGTAGTAATGCCGTGTGATGGGCGGGACCCCAAAGAGGTGTATATAGTATATGTAGTAATGCCGTGTGATGGGCGGGACCCCAAAGAGGTGTATATAGTATATGTAGTAATGCCGTGTGATGGGCGGGACCCCAAAGAGGTGTATATAGTATATATAGGTTTACACAGTGGGGAGGAATTTATCAGAACTGGAGCAGACAAACTCTAGAGAAGATTTGCACGGCAACCAATCAGCTTCTCTGTCTCATGTTCAAATCTTACCCGAGCAAACTGAAGAGAGATGCTGATTGGTTGCCATGGGCAACTGCTCCAGATTCTGTGTGCTCCAGTTTTGATAAATCCCCCCCCCC